TGTAGAGACACAGGCTGCGCCGAAGGTTCACCACTCGAAGAGACCGAGTGGACTGGAACACGGATGCACACCAAGAAGGGTGCATCCCTGAAGAAAAATTAGTGTTGTTCAGGATGAACAACACGCTGAAGCGAGATCGACTATCAGGGAGTCGATCGTAGAGCAAGACCGATCGACTGATAGAGAGTTGATCGAAGAGGATGTGACTGTGGTATTACACCCACAGTCAGTACCCGCACTGGTAGAAAGTCCCAGCGTTCCTGAGGGTGAAAATTCCCGAAGAGATATGTTGAGGGTGTGGATCCCCAACCACCTGCGGATGCGATTTCCATGGAAATCACCGAGACAGTGAATGTCTTGGTGAATGACGGATCAAGTGTAGGCGCCTACAGACTTGATCTAATTACACCTCTGAATTCAGCTCCGGAGTTAGTCAATTTGCCAACGCTAGAATCTGAAAGATTCTTGCGAGATCTGCGTAGTGACAAGATCAAGCAGATCTGCGTACTCGTCACAGGGGACGAGTACGGAGCCGATATTCGGTCAGCACAAGTGTTTGCTGAGAACGAGAGAGTTCTCAGTAGTTCGTCTATGGACGAGAGTGTCCTCGATGAGAAGACCCGGATTGAGCGATACACGTCTCAATCTTGGGAATCTTTGAAGGCAAATAATTGTATTAGAATTTGGTTGAATTTAGGGATGTTTATATGAGTCCGTGCCATGCGAGCTGTCTAAGGACAAAAGCACTCGGCATGAAATTGAGCTGAAACCTGGTTCGAAGTACTGTGTCACGAAGAAGTGGCCACTGCCTCGTGAACAGGTCACAGCGATCGACAAAATCTTTGCCGATCGTTTAGAGGCTGGTCATGTGAGGAAAGCATTATCCCCACACACTTTTCGACTTTCTGTGTGTGAAAGGCCACATGAGGTGGCGGATAGTGCACGCGTTCAACAATTTGAACGCTGCAACGGTACCGGCTCGTACGCCGATACCAAGGAAGGATGTCATCATTGATGGTATGGCAAACAGTAACATCTTTTCGTCCATGGATCTGATGGATGGATTCTATCAGATCCTCATGCGTGAACGGGACATCCCTTACACAGCGGTGAGCACCCCCAGTGGTATGCTTTGGAAGTGGCTAATAATGCCACAGGGGCTATATATTGCCCCTGCAACCTTCAGCAGATGTGTTACGAATCTGTTGTGATCCTTGCGAGACTTCGCATCGAGTTACTTTGACGATGCCTTCGTCCATAGCCGGGATATGGATGATAAGACGGACGTGGAGGTCCATAGAATCCACGTCCTGGAGGTTCTTACACCAATGCGAGATCATAAGTTGTTCACGAACCTCAGTAAGTGTTTATTCGCAGCGAACGAAATACCTCATCTTGGCTGCATCGTGGGTGAAAACGGCGTGCGCCCTGATCCAGAAATTATTCAAGGCTATGAGCGACTGGTCTGTGCTAGTCGACGTCAAGGAATTTCGAAAGCTCCTTGCCTTGGAGGCGTACTTGCACAAGTACTCGCGCAACTACGCCGAGATGACCGTATATCTCTTTCGTCTGCTAAAGAAAAACAAGATGTGGTCATGGAGTGCTGAGTATCAGCACTCCTACGAAGGTATCAACGAAATATTGACAATCACCTGTGTTGGCGATTGCAGACCCGGACAGACCTTTCCACGTGGTCCGTGATGCCAGTGATTTTGCAATCGGCTGCGCGTTAATGCAGTATGACTCAGACGGCGCTGAGCGTGTCATCTGTTATCAATCGCGTCAGCTGCAAGCATCTGAGCGTAATTATCCGGTCCATGACAAAGAACGCCTTACCATTAAATATGCACTGGCTAAGTTTTGGGTAAATCTCATAGGAGATAGGCCCTTTATCGTTTATACCGACCATGCGTCGTTACGCACGGCCGTAAACAGTCTCACACCTCTCGCAACGAATGGTGAGGTGGCTTTCTTTCTTCTCGGAGTACAACTTCTCCATCGAGTATAAACCAGGGCAACTTAATTTCGTCGCTGATGCTCTTTCGCATCGTCCCGATTTTGAGCCGACTGCTCAACCCAACAATAGGGGTGATTTCACTGTTGCGAGATGATCAGTGAGTGTTCCGTCGTCGAATCTGCTCGACGACGTGCGGAAAGCATACGCAGAAGATGAGTCTCTACTTTTATTGATGGATTATGTATCCAATCCATGCAGTCAAGCTCTGATAAGCTTGACTTCTCATAACCGCTCTTGAGCCGAACGTTATTCGGATCGTGATCGAATGCTGTACTATACAGCAAATAACGGCAATATATCGCGTGTCGTCGTTCCCGCTCGTAATGGTTTGCAATTGCGCATCATGCATGAGTGCCACCAACATGTGGGCATCGCGTAAGAGAAAAGACTTACCTCACGTTAAGTCGTGAATTCTACTGGACCCTCCAGTATGAGTTTATGCGCACATACATTCGCGCTTGCGAAATTTTACAACAGGTGAAGCCTAGTCCTACATCCTGTGCACCCTTGCAGCCTCTACCGATTCTGGCAAAGTGCTGGCAGTCCGTATCGATAGACTTCGTCATCGGGTTCCCAAAGACGCTTACAAGAACGCTGTTATTCTTGTGCTTGTTGATCGGTTCATCAAGATGGTACATCTTGTTGCGGTACCAGAGTCAATCACAGGTCAGGGCTGTGCTCGTGGCATAATCGATACTATTTCCCGACTATACGGGTTACCCCGTGAACTCGTGTTTGATAGGGACCCCCGCTTTACGGTGGAGTTCTGGCAATCCGTGTTCCGTTCACTTGGAACACGTTTGAAGATGTCGACTGCTAGCCATCCTGAAACAGATGGTTAGACGGAACGCGTCAACCGCGTCCTTATAGAGATGCTTCGAGGGTACGTCCACTCGTTTACGAGTTGAAGTGATCTGTTGCCGATGGCGAAAATTTGCCATCAACACCTCGGTCCACGCGCCTACAACGCATAAACCGTTCTTCGTGAATAGCCTACTTTATCCTCTTTACCCGCCTTCTTAGAGTGTGAATCTAATTCAGGGGAGGGGCAATCGCTTAAACGAAAGTGATCTGGTTCTTGCTCATCACTTGTCGACAATGGTGTCGACGCGATGGATGCCTATGTCGATTACTTTAACACCGATGACGATGATGACGATGATGCTAGTATATTAATCATCGCCAAAGAATGACACAGTGAGCACGATGACGCCCTCACTGGTAAAGACAACGTTCTTTGAGAAGTGTGAACAAAGTGCACTGCTGTTGACAAGGATGAATTAGCAGAGGAATTTATGCTGACTCGCGAAGCGGTTGTCCGCTTCGTACAAGACTTTATTGCAGATGCAATAGACAAGCAGAAAGGAAACGCAGATAAACATGGACGAGCGAATGTTCGTTCATTTAATAAAGGAGACTTAGTCTAACTGTCAACAGTAAATCCACCAAAGTATGCAGTGACAAACGTGGGCAACAGTAAATTATTACAAGATTATATCGTTCCATTTCGTGTGTTGCGCCGAATGGGCAACGCATACACGATTGAAGTGCATCGTAGGATGCGTACGCACCCTACGTTTTACTTTGGACGTCTCCGCCCGTACTATCAGTATGAGCCCGTGTCAAGAGGCGAAAAACACCTCCGCAGTCAATGCCCGAGACCACCTTCGACTGTTCCCCTTCTAACGAGCCAGTCTGGTCGACCAGCGAAGCGACCTGCTCACGCAGTTGAGCAATGTCCTGACGAGCTGCAGTCAGCTCGTCACGAAGAGAACGAATCGAACATTCCTTCTCAAGTTGCGCTAGCGCAAACGCGGCACGATCGTTCGAACGATCGTGCGATAAAAAGTTGTAAAATTATCCTTTACAAGGTCATGAAGCTCATAACGCCGATTCCGTTGATGAGCCAAGTTATCGTGTAACCGATTGGTTACACGGCTCAGCTCCTGAACATCAAGATGATCCGACCCTCGAGCCGGATCAGGTCCTTCCATAACCCCCACATCCTTTGGTGTATTCTAGCGGTGGTTAACGCTTCGTAGTGAGGCGTATTTTGAGTTAACGCGACGTGAATGGCGTCCGGTTGAGTTACCTCGTCCGTTAGCGTGGCTATCCACAGGACTGGCACGTCTGGGAGCCTCGTGCCCAGCTGAATGTTGATGTCCTGGGTCTCGTCGAGCAATATGACGAGATCAAGCCGCTGCGTTCGAATAAGGGCCGTCGGAAATGACCTCCCAAAAAGCAAGTACAGGGAGTTCAATGTCTCAATCCCTTCGGCCATCTTATAAGAGATGCGCGCCCTCCAGTAGGGATCATTAGGGAGGTAGGCCTCTCTAGGGGCACGATTAGCATTGTCCGGGCAACTTGGACACGAATCGCCCCAAGAGAGACAGGGTAATCCTGCCTCTTTCGACAGCCGGTGCAACTTGTATCGCACCCCGGATGGGGCATGCTTTTCAAGCCTAATGCAAGCCTTATCAAGTTTATCGATCTAGTCCTCACGGCCAATGCACTCGATGTTATGAATGAAGGCATTCCTTCCTTTCACGAAGGCCTTATTGTCTCAGCCACGGTTGCTGTTGTACCACCTATGCTCGAAGAGCACATCGATGTAGCATCTTTCCTTAGCAAGAATAGTTTCCGTCCCGAAATTAGGGGGACAGACCCTACTACAGCCAAACAACGGGATTTAATCCCGTTCGGTGGTCATACCGGCCACTCGATCTAAATGTTTGGACAACAGCATCCAACGAGACTTCACGTGAAGAGCGTGGTGCAGGCCATTGCGGTCCCTGGCCTCATGTGTAATATCAGCATGAGCACTGACACCAGTAGAAGCTCGATCGCTCGAGATGCTTCTCTAGTGGTGACGTTTAGGTGTGTCGCCACCATCACCACGCGTCCTGTTGTCATATGGACTTGCGTTAGACGAGGATTAGTCAGGCGAATCTTTCGGTCCAAAGATCTCGGACTTGATCGATTAATGTTTCCCGGAGACAGTAACCTGGATCTGGCAGTGTCCGCCTCGGGTGATCCGGAAGCAAAAGGGGACGCTTTTGAGTCGGATGATGCATCCGACTCACCAGAATCGATGAGCTCTATCTCAGGCTCATCTACATTGCGATTAGCAGTACCCGCTGAAGACGCACGGATGTATCTGTCGCACGTGGTGACTCACCACGTGGACTGCTCACAACAGGTACCGCCTGTTGCTGAAACGCAACAGCAGGTAAAGGATCACCTGTTGCTAAAGAAAAAGTAGAATTATCTTTGGCTGCACGCATGCGTGCAACCGCCTTTCTTGTTGTTTCGGCAGCACATCGCATTAACCATGACACCATGCGATGAATTGGCAAATGAGTTCAATTTTATAACAAGTGCATCCCTTCCCAGAGTGATCCATTGGTGATCACCCTGTCTGCGATCAATTTGATTCAATCAGCAATTTATTGATGGTAAAGGGGAGGGGGTGTAACGGGGTAGCCCGTTACATGATATTGACATTAAACGGTGTCAATAGGGAGATTGATCAGCGTTCCAATGTTTGGCCAAATTTACCAGAGATAGTTATATTGAAGGAATGTTATCCCCTTATGGGATAATTTTAATGCGTTGATCGAAAAATTAATGATTGAAAGTATCAAGATTACCACCAATCGCTGCTAGACGCGCGCAATGAGTGGTGAGCAGGTTGTCGTCGTACGACAATGTAGATTATGAGAGATCGATAAAGACTGAAGCTATATGGATCGCTAAACTATATGAAAAAAGTTCTCTTTTTACCTTTATTCAACATAGTTGTTGAGTATACTAGCTTCCTCTACACGTACTAGTGTACGTGAAGTTTTGTGGCATCCCGAACACAGGGCGGCCCATTACGACATTGATAGCTAGACTATATTATATATAGTTCTCTTTTCACCTTGACTCAAACTAGCAGATTGAGTAGATCAGCTGAAACTTCCAGTACGAGTGTACGTGATGATTCGTGGCCCCCAAACAAAGGGTGTTCTGTTGCAGCCATTGTACTTGCATCACCTGGGACACTGGGTACTGCCACCATAGTCCAAAGCGTCCTCCATCTCGAAGTATACATGAAGAGCCTTTGACTCGTTAAACGATGAAACATGGTACTTAAGCTTTGCGTTTCCGTGAGGTTACCCGCAAGCGTGCTGACCTCGTTGAGGACCAACGCTCGATCGACGTTTAAGTAAACGTTAGTCTGGTGGAGGAGGGTGTAAAGAGTTTATACATCGTAGGGTTCTCGCTACCCTGTGTCTTCGACACACGGGATAGTCTTCCACTGAAAGAAATATAGAAAATCTTATCGGTTGATAGGGGCTGACTGTAACGGGGCACCCTGAAGCTTGTACTGGTGACAGTACAAGCTACTTATTCTGATGACAGAATAAGGCGGTGCCTCGTAGCTTCACGTGCACTCGTACGTGCAGAGGAAGACGGTAAGATGAAGCGAGTACTTGGTTAAAGTAAAAAGTAGAACTGTATTTATAATAGTTAATGTCTGCAATAAATCACTATCTATCTTCATCTAACTATGTCTAAATACAAATGTGTAAATCAGTTATCTGCTCACCACTCATTGCGTGCGTCTGTCGTGGCGCGTCTTCGTTCGTTAATATAATGGCCTATATCAACCAATTAGGAACTACTCGTAAGTGCTGCAGAATATTTGTCCTTATGACAATATTCTAAGACCATAACTTTTATAGTTGTATTGTATTAACGATTTCTTATAAATTGTTATGTAACGGTTCACCCCGTTACATCATCCCCCCTTAACCATCAGTCACTTTAGTGACTGATTGACTAAATGGATACTCGTCCCAAATCATTTGGGACAGGGTTTGCACTTGTTGGTCCAAGTCCACTTTCCAACAGTTCATCGCATGGTTAACAAGCCCATGCGATGTGCGAGCAAGGCCGCCGAGAGCGTTTCCGCACGTCTTTGTGCGGACGCCGAAGCAGGAACCGCCGCAACTGATGTCACATCGGTTGCTGAAGCGACTCAGCCTGTGTCACCTGGTGATGCAGGCGCTCGTCATGAAGACACTCATGTCTTCACAGAGTATGAGCTCGGTGTCTCATACTCTCCCGAAACGGAAGATGGATCTGTATCGAAGGCGGTTGAAATCAAGCCGCCTGCCAAGCGTGGCATGGATGATGCTATGCGTCGTAGCATCTTTGGTTCATCTGACAAATCAGAGGAATCATCGCCGAAGCGAAGGCGTTCGAGATCGCGAGACTCGGGCGCTAACAGTGGTGTCGGTTCTCCTATTGACATCACTTCGCAACCAGGTGCCAGTACTTCTGTCGGCACGTCGCAGGAAGAGCGGGACCGCAACGTGTTGCGTCTCGCTCCCGATAAGAAGGCATGGATGCCTCCAAAATCCGTCATGGATCGCTTGTCGGCGACGACGAGTGATCGTTATCGAACACGATTGTTCGATTCGTCAAGGATCCATCACCTTGACCCCAGTGCCAAAAACTATCACACTGAGCATGAGTTCTTTATCGATGCCGTCTTTAAGCATCGATGGTACAGTGGGAATCAAAACGTGATGGTCCCTCACTGCTTCAAGCGTGGAACGCCTACATCCATAACCTTGAGGATGTAGGTCGTGACGCTTGGAACGACAAACTTATCAAAGCTCGTGATAAGTTTGAGAAAATAACCCCGACAGGTGCACGCTACAAGCTGCATCGTCTGTCTAGGGAGAAAGGCTTACCCTGCCTCTCCTGGGGAGACTCGTGCCCATGTTGTGTAAACAACTCTGCACGAGGACCTAAGTAGGCTCATCTCCTTATTAGCCCGTGGTGGCGCGTACGTATCTCTAGTGAGATGTACGAAGGGATTGACAACCTGAAATCCCTTTACGACCGTGCCGGGAAGACTTTCTCCAGCGGTCCTTCTGCGGCACTGGATGTGCCGCATCGTACTACTCGACCAGACTAAGTACGTCAACCATCAGTTGGGAGCGGGGCTCCCAAGTATCTCAGGACGGGGGATAGCCGCGCCACCGGACGAGATAACTCGTCCGACGTCCGTTCACGTCGCGGTTGTTCAACAGATGCTCAATCAGATAGCGCTGGCCACCGCGAGAGTCGTCTAATGGAGGTGGAGGAGGAGGGAAGACGCTCTACACACAATCGTGGGGAATCGTGTGTTCCCGAGAGCTTCTTTGATCGCGTAACGCAAGGGTTACGCGGCGACCTCGAGAATGAGCGGGACAGGCGTCTTCAGCTGGCAGACGCTGTCTCGAAGCATCGAGCTGAGTTTCCTCGTGCTCAGCTTGAGAACGAGAGAGCTCTGACGTCTCTGCGTGACGAGCTAAGGGTAGCTCGTGGGATTGTTGATCGGTCTCGGGATGAGATAACTGCTCTTCAGCCCCTTGTCGATGCCCACCATCGGAAGCACAAGGCTCTCTGCGAGATGCTTGAGCGCAAGGGCGTTCTTCAACGGAAGAAGCAGCGTACTGATGGTACGGCTTAAGCCGACCAACGTAAAACGTGGGATGCGTTCGCATCTTACGTGGCAGTTCGATCATGTATGCATTGCCTAGGCGATGCGATACACGAAATGGGCCGATGTACTTGGGTAGAAGTTTACTACTACCCAAGTTAGTCACTACGTGCTTTGGTAGGTTAACCGTAGACAGTAGGACTAAGCCACCTTTATTAAATAAAAGAGTGTTTGCCCTTCCATTCTTGTCAGCGTTTTGCTTTTGCTTATCCACCGCTTCGGCGATGGAGTCTTGCACAAAACGGACTACCGTTTGACGAGCCAGTACGAACTCATCTGCTGGCTCGTTAGCTTCAGTGCGCTGTGAGTGCACTGCAGCAACATCAACCTTTTCTTCAGTGAGGGCTTCCGCACTCTCACTGGCATCATCTTCTTCGATATCCATGTTATCGATATCGGCATCAAACGCAATGACCTCTTTGTCAGAGCGTGATGAGCGTGAACCAAATCGTTTTTTGCTCGCGCGAGTCCCTCCCCCCCTCAAACCAGAGTTACACTCTAGTAAGGTGGGTACACGCGGATGGCGTAAGCCATTCACGTAAAACGGTGTATGTGTCGTGGACGCATGCACCGAGTTGTTAATGGCAAACTCTACCATTTGCAAGAACTCACTCCAACTCTTAAAGGAGTGTACGTATCCTCGAAGTATCTCTCCGAGGACACGATTGGCACGTTCCGTCTGACCATCTGACTCTGGATGATCAGATGTCGACATCTTCAAGCGCGTTCCGAGTGATTGGAACACGGAACGCCAGAAATCAGCAGTGAATCGTGGATCTCTGTCTGATACGAGTTCACGGGGCAACCCATGAAGTCGGAAGATGGCGTCGATAAAGACACAAGCACAGCCACTTGCCGTGATTGAATCTGGTACAGCCACAAGGTGTACCATTTTGCTGAATCTGTCAACAAATACGAGAATACCCGTATTCCCGCGTGCGTCTTTGGGTAACCCGAAGACAAAATCCATTGAGACGGATTCCCAGCACTCAGCCGGAACCGGTAGAGGCTGTAAAGGTGCACTCATTGAAGGACTTGACTTCACTCGTTGACAGACTTCGCATGCGCGAATATACTTGCGCACAAACTGATACTGGCGGGGCCAGTAAAAGTCTCGACTCACCGTGAGATGTGTTTTCTCACGGCCGCGATGTCCTCCTATAGGAGCATCGTGATACTCGAACATGATCCGCAAACGCAGAGCAGTATCATCTGGGATGACAACACGTGGTGTGTCACCAGAAACGGCTGTATAATACAGTAAAGCTTTGTGAGTAGTGTATCGATCTGCATCAGATCGATACGCAGACGACAATAGTTTCAACGATTCTCAAGACGGATGTGAGAGATGTGTCAACAACTTCACATCTCACCATCTTGGGCATACGCCCGCCTCACATCATCATGTAACGTTGAAGATGGTAAGGTGGACGTCATAACCGCAACAGTGGCTGTCTCACTGTTGGGTTTCACGACTGATTCAAAGTCGGGCCGACGTGAGAGTGCATCAGCGACGACATTAAGTCGTCCTGGTTTGTACTCTACCGTAAAGTTGTATTCTGCAAAGAATGACAACCACCGGGCCATTTGTTGTGAAAGGTGCAGGCTGTTCACTGCCGTGCGTAATGACGCATGGTCAGTGTAAACGATGAAGGGTCTATCTCCTAATAGATAGACTCTGAACTTCGCGAGTGCATACTTCATGGCAAGGAGTTCCTTGCCATGCACTGGATAGTTCCGCTCAGCTGGTTGCAGCTGACGCTACTGATAGCAGACGACGCGTTCAACGCCTTCAAGATCGTACTGCATTAATGCACAGCTGATTGCAAAATTGCTGGTATCACAGACCACATGAAATGGCCTGTCCTGATCGGCAATTGCTAGGACTAGGGATTATATCAAGCTCTGCTTGATACCATCAAAGGAGCGCTGACATTCAGCGTTCCATAACCACCTCTCGTTCTTTTTCAACAAACGAGAGAGGTGCACAGTCATCTCGGCGTAATTGCGTGAGTTCTTATGCAAGTACGCCGCTAGCCCAAGGAATTTTCGAAGACCTTTGACATCAACCGGCACAGGCCAGTCGGTGATCGCTTTGATCTTTTCGGGATCAGGACGTTCACCGTTCTTACCAACGATGCACCCAAGAAGTGGTATTACGCTTGCTGCAAATCTACACTTCTTGAGGTTTGCATACAATTGATGCTTTCGCATGATTGTAAGAACCTGTCGGACGTGGCTCTGTGAACCTCGACATCCGGCTTTCCATCCATAGCTCGACTATGGATGAATACGTCATCGAATATTCGGCGCGAATTCTCGTACCGGTCTCAACAGATGTGATACACATCTGTTGAACGTGGCAGGGGCATTACTAAGCCCTTGTGGCATTACTAGCCATTCCCAGAGCATGCCGCTAGGCGTGCTCACTGCGGTATAGGGTATATCCCGTTCTCACATAAGGATTTGATAGAAGCCATCCATCAAATCCATGGACGAAAAGATGGTACTCTTTGACATACCATCAATGATTACGTCCTTCCTTGGTATCGGCGTCTGTGCCGGTACCGTTGCAGCATTCAACTTGTTAAATGCATGCACTATCCGCCACCCTCCTGTTGCTTTTCGCACACAGAAGGTCGGAGAGCTATGTGGGGAAGTTGATTCCCTCACATGGCCCGCAGCTAAACGATCGGCAAAGAACTTGTCGATCGCAAGTACTTGTTCACGAGGCAGTGGCCACTGCTTCATGACACAGTACTTCGAGCCTGGTTTAAGCTCGACCTCGTGTCGAATACCTTTATCCTTTGGTAATTCGCACGGAACAGCTTCAGGGAATACATCCTTGAATTCTACCAAATCTTCATAGAGAGGATTTGTCTTGAGCGATTCCCACGATTGGGAGTCATGTCGCTCAACTCGTGTCTTTTCATCTAGGACACTCTCGTCCATAGATGAACTAATGAGAACTCTCTCGTCCTCAGTAAACATTGTTGCTGACCTTATGTCGGCTACACACTCGTCGTCAGCGACTAGTACGCAGATCTGCTTGACTTTGCCACTACGCAGATCACGCAAGAACCTTTATGTTCGAGCGTTGGCAACTGAGTGATCTCCGAAGTCAACTTCGGAGGCGCAATCAGATCAAGTGTATAAGCGCCTACACTTGATCCATCATTGACTATGACATTCAATGTCTCTGTCATTTCCTGGGGACTTATTCCCTCAGGCCTCGAAGGACTTATTCCTTCGGCTTCCCAAGGGACTTATTCCCTCGGGTTTCGGGGAACTTATTTCCACCGTATCTGTAATATCGGGACTTATTCCCTTAACTTCCTCTGGCTGGGGTTACGCAACCACAGCGAGATCCTCTACGAAAGAATCTCCAGTCGATCCAGGATTATCGTTTCGCTTAACCTGAGCGATCTATGGTTTCTCTTCTAGATGTTCCCCGATAGGGATACATCTTTGTCCGGTCCACTCGACTTATTCGAGTGGTGGACCTTCGGCGCAGCCTGTGTTTCCTCACAGCCGCCGGAACTTTGCTCCGAAGTGTAACCGTTTGTTTCACTAAGGTTTTGTGCAGTCGTACTAACGACCGTACCACAAGTGAGCCCATCGCACTCACTCGTAGTACATCCACACGCTTGTGGACGCTCCAAAACGTTCATCAGATGGCCATCTGATGAACAAGCGGCAGGCATCGTTACTGTTCGATGTTGCCAGTTAACCCGTGGTTCTTATCTTCTGAGCCACGGTATTCCAAGGATGATACAAATTTGTCATTCCCAAATCCAATACGACAAAGTCATCGTCATATTGGGTATCTTCTAGCGTATAGTGAAGATTCACTATACGCTTTATGACGGTTACGGATGCGCCTGTCGCAAGACGTACCGTCATCCTCGTAAGAGGTGTGTCACATTTACTAAACTTGAAGTGACCATCTTCTAGCGATTGGCGTTGCACAAAGTTGTTGGACGCCCCACAATCGACGAGAGCTCGAAGGGACAACTTATTTGTCACTTCGAGCTTCAAGGTAATGAGTGAGATCTCATTACCTAAAGCAGCAACGCACAACGTTTGTATGTTGGGAGCAACCTTCTTCAAGAGGCCTACAAATTCTCTTGACGTTGCTGGACCAGTAGGGTGCTCCGCACCTACTGATCCTGACCGTTTTTTGACGGTCCATCCCGTTGTTGCGTCTTTGCACCAATAGCGGACCCGCGTCCCTGCCCATTTCTAATGGGTGGACGGTCACTACGCCCAGTGTTGCGAGACACTGGACGAGGGGCACTACACTCGTAAGCGTAGTGTCCTGTCTTTTGACATCAGTTGCATTTCTGCAACTTCTTGTAGTCGATAGAGCGAGCCTTCTCGCTCTCTACATAACAGAGTTCCATCGGCTCTGGACCTCCGCTGTCATATCGTCTCGGTTGACGATATGATGTCGAGCTGGCGCGAGCCTGTCTCAGACTGAAGGCTTCCTGTTCCGCAATGGAAATGGCTTGCTCTGGTGAATCTAGTTGAAGCCGGAACAGGTGAGTCTTGACGGGACCATCCGCAAGACCCTGCATGAACACCGAAACCAACGTGTGTTCATCAACCGGGTTGGAACTTATACAGCTCGTGAGATGTCGTATATGTTGTGCGTAAGCGTGCACATCACGCTTACCTTGTTTAAGTTTCAAGAGTTCAGTTCGAGCTCTGAACTCAGCTCCAGGCGGTTCAAACGTTTGCCTGAGCCGCGACTTGAAGACTTCTAACGACCCAAACGCATATGGGTCGTGCAACTTGAGCCCCAGTGCCCAAGTCTTGGCACGTCCTGCCAGATTTGACTGGGCAAATGCAACTTGCATATCCCCGTCGTCGATGCGACGCGCCCTTATGGCGTCATCCAATTCGACGAACCATCTCAAGAGGGAGTCCTCTTCGACTCCCCTATACTTGGAGATGTCAATCTTCAATGTCTCGGGTCGATGCGCTTGCGTCGACCCGCCAGGAGCAGCCTGCTGCTGTCTCAACAGTTCAAACTGTTGAGCACCCTGTTCTCTCAACAACTCTGATTGTTGAGAACCTTGTTGGTGAAGCAAGGCTACTTTCTCGCGTTCAGCGTCAAGTTCATTTTGAATGAACTTGGCGATAGTAGCATGTTGGGCATCTCTATTGAGAGCCTCTAGCATGACGCTGACAGCATGGATGCCCATGGTTGAACCCATCCGTTAAACCTCATCCCATTCGACATTGCTCAAATGGGAGTAGCCGTTACGCGTAGCGTGAAAGCTTTGGTCATCATCATCATCTAGCATATTCATGTTAGATGTGAACGTGGTCCTTGGACGGACTACGAAGTGCTACCAGCTGTAACGGGGCACCCTGAAGCTTGTACTGGTGACAGTACAAGCTACTTATTCTGATGACAGAATAAGGCGGTGCCTCGTAACTTCACGTACACTCGTACGTGCAGAGGAAGACGGTAAGGAGAAGCGAGTACTTGGTTAAAGTAAAAAGTAGAACTGTATTTATAATAGTTAATGTCTGCAATAAATCACTATTTATCTTCATCTAACTGTGTCTGAATACAAACGTGTAAATCAACTATCTGCTCACCACTCATTGCGTGCGTCTGTCGTGGCGCGTCTTCGTTGGTTGATATAATGGCCTATATCAACCAATTAGGAACTACTCGTAAGTGCTGCAGAATATTTGTCCTTATGACAATATTCTGAGAATATAACTCTTATAGTTATATTTTATTAACAATTTCTTATAAATTGTTATGTAACGATTCACCCCGTTACACTGACGGGTGTCAGCCAAAGATAGGAAAGATATTGAAGATATTGATTATGGACATGAGTGCCTAGATTAGGTAATATGGGAATACGATATTCTCTAAAGGTAAGCGTAAGTAAAGTTTAGTTCCCCTTTTGGTATTGTCTAGACACGTGCCTTGCGAGGCGTCTCTGATCGTAGATCTTTACGAGTCGGCAACACGTGCCTGAGGTAGCTAGTTTTGAGCACTGGTGCTATAGATTCATGCATCGTTCGGTCCCCTGGGACAAGAACCTTAAGCTTTACGCTTGTGTACTCAAAGAGTCTAGTTCTTTAGAACAAATTTTGCTCTTTGAGCACTAAGTCTTCCTGACTCAAGGAACTGTGATGCTGCGCTATATTGTGCGTCACAAAGATTACACCAATAATGATAAGGTAGGCACAGCAGCACAGGCTCCCATATTTGCGACATAAAGCACCTTGTGGCGCACGCCTTAGTGTTGCAGTATCTTCTCGACATGCACGTGTTGGGAGCACTGGATAAGAGCAACTACTTTACTTCTTTGTCAGAGCGCTATCGACGATTGCACCGCCATCATCATTTAATCTATCAGAGGAAATGTCAGCAATTGTATCCTGACAAAGTGATGAGCAGAGGTGCACGAAGAAAATTACCCAAATGAAGTAAATGTTGTCTTAGGGAAAATAGTTTGCATCCACTTCTTTACTGCTCTCAATTCGCCAAGTCCGTCGAAAGTGCATTAGTTTTGATTCCAGCCCCGTCATCTTGACAACGTTCACGCGAACGTCTTCGCTCGGACTGTCAATACTGACCGAAACATTCTCAGTACATCGGTAGTTTGTGTCTCATTCGCATCCATGCGATTAGACCTAACACTCCAATGTGCAATAGCTCAATACGACAAAAGTCGCATTATCTGTACCAATGCCCTTAATTCGCTGGCGTTTTTTTTTTTTACTCAACCCTTGTCTGCTGCTAACACCACAGCGTTCTGACCACTACTGGAGCCAAAGCTGATAGCAGTGACAGTCTCATACCACGACTCACGCCCACAAGCAGCAATAAGTCACTTGAGTTCAAAACATTTGTATTTTACGCAGCGACAAAACCAACCCTACGACATCACGTCTAACCCTCGAGAGTGCTTCTCCCGCCACATGAATCTTTCCACACAGCGCTAAACCTCCATCGTTGAAGGGGTGTCATGCCGCGTGACGGTTTCCGCACGCAGACACAATGTTTTTTATGCCTGGGCGAGTAGCGGTATCACAAAGCACGACGCAAAAGCACTTTTTACGTACAATCGTGTACTGGACTGTACAAGAGAGGAGAGGTAGTCTATCAAAGGAGGATGTTTACACCTGCCCCATGAAACGTGTGTCAGAGCGGACTCTATTACAGGGTCTTCATGCTCATATAGGGAGCTGTAATAGGTGGGGGGGGGTAGCCGTAGTATGGGGGGGAGTAGAGCCCCTGCCATTATGTCTCCCCCTTCTGATTGAACAGGTTCTACAGTAGCTCACACACTGCCGGAACCCCATGTTGCCAATACTGACTCGCCAAACTGCACACGAGTATCATGCGAAGTGGTTTGCATCACCAATGCCGATTCTTCAGCTAAAACTCGTGCCTCCTACGCTATTATCACAAAGCGTGCGCCCGACGTCACGTAGACAAAAGTTGCCACGGGGTCTGTAGAAACTTTATCTAAGTGATCGGCTTGAAGGTAGTATCCGAACTGTCCAGACACGACCACTATCGTCGCTAGCGCCAGCACCTCTACCAAAGAATCCGCAACATGTTTCGACCAGATGAAAGCTGAATTTTGGTCTCTGACAAATGTCCGGATTCGTCGTAGTCGCTAAGATAGCAATAGAGCGTTCTCCTTACAACAAGTTCAGAAACGCATGAACGCCAACGTCTTCTCTGCAGCAAAAACGCTGGCGTAGCATTCAACATGTGCCTAGATTGTGGAGTAGTGTAGCGTTCAACATGCGCCTGACTATAAACCATCACGATAGACAGCCGTACCATTGTATGAGTTTGACGGAGTCCTTGATGGCAGTTGCTCGTTCGTACCACACACATAAAGTAATAATGACTACAGCAGCCAGGGACATTCCTGACCTAACGTCAAGTTCGCGACCCAACAGGAGCTCGTCACAAAGAGAGCTGCTGGATGTCGAGTGGATGGATGGGTGGGTTAAAAACAGGTGCTCGTTCAGTATCGTGGTGGGGTAAACCTGACGCCGCTCGTCAGTCAAACAGCGCGATATGGCAAAGAGAATTGGGCGAGTTCGCACCTTCTGGGCGATTTGCACCTCCCGCCTGCCTCGTCGTGTCGCGCGCGTTGCCGCATTGTATCGTGTGCCTGACCTGTAGCTGGACTGATGATCTCTTGCAGATGATCGATACGTCTTACGGTGTCGTCAAAACATGGAAAGGCGGTCATCGAAGCACCGACGTTGTGCTGGTCAAGTCATTGGTCTCGACTGCAGCTTTCGTGGTCACAATCACCTTTGCGTCGTGCCTGGCATCGCGTTGGCGAGAGAAATGTTGCCCGAGCTGTCACCTCCTATACTCGAGCGCTCGCTCCTCGAAAGCGGCTACACGCGCGAGAGCGGTCAAACCAACCACCAGAACACGCCCGAGTATCCCCGGAAGAGCGACTCCAATAGTCTCGATAGCCAGCATATCATGACCAAGTATGAGGAGCTCATCAATCCGTGCGTCCTCAGTTGGAACAACCTCAGCTACGCCGTGGAAGGGAAAGCGACGGGCAAGACTTTGTCCAGCAAACATGTTATTCTTGACAAAGTCAGTGGCCGCAGTGCGCCTGGTGAACTTACTGCTATCATGGGCCCCTCTGGATCGGGGAAGACGACGCTTGTTGACTTATTAGCTGATCGTATCAGCTCTGGCCAAGTGATGGGAACGATCGAGTTGAACGGCCTTGAACGAGAGACCAAGATGCTTCGGGCTGTGACGAGCTACGTGGCTCAAACTGACACGCTTCTGGGTTCGTTCACAGTCGCAGAGACCATGATGATGGCGGCGAGACTTAGTCTGCCGAATTGTGTGGTAATGATGGACGTCCACTCTCGAGTGGAAAGTATCATGGACGCTATGGGACTCGGTGCATGCAGCAACACTCTGGTCGGGGACATCTTTCGCAAGGGTCTTTCAGGCGGTCAAAAGCGGCGCCTCAGTATCGCCATTGAGCTGCTGTCAAATCCGAGCGTCTTGATTCTCGACGAACCTACCAGCGGTCTCGACTCCAGCTCAGCGAACAACGTCATGAAGTACATTTTGAAGCTGTGCAGGGAGGGCAAGACTGTCGTATGCACGATCCACCAGCCGTCGTCGCTCGTTTACGACATGTTTACGAACGTGATTGTGCTATCGCAAGGTCGAACAGTGTACGGCGGGTCTCGCTATAACATGATTCAGCACTTTGCTTCAATTGGATTCTCTTGCCCGACATACACGAACCCGGCCGAGTATTTCATTGGTCTCGTGAACACGGATTTCGACGAACATGTCGACGTACAAAAGCTTGTGCATGCCTACGACCAGAGCCACGTGAAGAAAGAGCTGACGGATCAACTTGTTGCAGATCGATCAGCTTTGCAAAACCTGCCGGACATTGAGTTAATGTCACCCTCAGCGCTGCGGCAGTTCAGTGTGCTCATGTACCGCAACACGTTGAACAACATCCGGAACCCGGGCATCTACTGGATCCGACTTTTCATGTACTTTTGTCTGAGCTTCATGGTCGGCACCATGTACCTGAGCACGAACAACGATCTGAGTGCAGACGACCTCGTGCCAATGCTGTTCTACGTGCAGGCGTTCCTGGTGTTCATGTCCGTGGCCGTCCTCCCGTTTTTCATCGAGCAGCGGGCTGTCTTCGCTCGGGAGCGCGCCAACAGTTCGCTCAGTGTCGTGAGCTACGTGTGCGCCAACTTCTTGGCGACGTTGCCAGGTATCTTCTTGATTGCGGTCATGTCGACGGCATTGGTCGTGCTGCTCGCCGATTTGAACGCGATCGAGTACTTTTTGCTGAATCTGTTCTTGTCTCTCGTGGTGGCCGAGTCCATGATGCACGTGATTGGAGCTGCAGTCCCTCACTATATCATTGGCATCGCACTGGGAGCCGGTGTGTTTGGGATGTTCATGCTGTGCGAGGGCTTCATGGTGCCTCGCGAGTCGATCCCGGGCTACTGGATCTGGGGATACTACGTGGCGTTCCACTCGTACTCGTTCGAGTCGTTCGTGTTCAAGCAATTTGAGCACGAGACGTCGGATGAAGCAAAGGCGATTTTGACGAAGTACGGCATGGAGAACGTGGATGTTACGAGGGACATGTTGATTTTGGTGGGATACGTCGTCATCTTCCAGATTATGTATATGGCCATCCTGTGGAAATTTCACACCGGGCGTTGCTGAGACGACGTCGTAGTTGTTGCGTGTAATGTATTGTACGAATCGACAAATTGTAGTCGTTGTCGGGGTATGGTAAATATTAACGTCTATTAAGCAAAACGGATGTGAGGAAATAGCAGCTTGGACAGTTGTCTTGAAGCCTGATGAGTAGTAAAACGGCGGTATGATGTTAACAATTATTGTGCCCCAGTCGACACTTGAAGATAAGCTCGTCAGAAGTTCTACAGTTCGAGCTAGTATACTCAAACGCGTAGCACGATGTCGTCCCGGTGACAGCGAATCGTAATGGAGTAGTCGGCTGCATTTGACGTACGTTGATGACACGCCACGCAAGCACGTTCTAGCGGCAGTCAATTGGTAATCGACCCATTTGACTGGTCTACATTAGTATTGGTTTTGCCTGCTCGACGCCACCTCATCGCTATCCAGGGGTTCACCACTAACGAAACAATCGGTATCTGGAAAGAAACCCCGCGATGTCACAGGCTGCAATGACGAATGAAGGAAGTGCTCGCACGTGGCAGTCCTGAGTGATTGTGATATTACACCTCCTTCGATATACGTAGCTTCCGCTGTGTTACAGGTGCGCTCACAGCTACCGTAAAGCACTGTAACATCTCGACCTTACAGCGGGATGAAAGGCTTCAGTATCGCTGGTACCAGCAAGATGGACTGTCCAAGCTGGCGATGTCCTCACAGACGATCTTTTGCGCTGTAAAGTTACTGCAATGGAATCGAAACTTGACGTGCTACGCCCTGCAGCGTTCCCGAAGAAAGGATCCGCATCGAATCGTCCTGCATCAGACCACTTCAGCAATAACATTTGTAGGGTTGTCAAGTGGTCAGAAGGTTGACCAAGCGTCACCATCATGCAGTCGCGTCGCTCGTGAATATCCTTTTCCCAGTAAGAATTACTAGCGTCCGACACTAGTAGATTGTCTGTCATCACGATTATGATCGCCAAGGTCCCAGCGCAATACGTCAGGTTCAGGTGCCGACCTGCCAGCTATTGTCAGCAGCGCTCTCTGCTTCATGGTCAGCGCCGTGTAAGCGATGACATAAGATATAGTGCCTGTGCCATTCTACGCGCACAAGTCGATCGAGAACCTGTACATTGATTCTTCTTGGCGTCGAACGTGTGGTCGGATGAGCTAGCCAGAAGAGAACTGTTCGAGGAAGGAATCGTTGGACAGAACGAATGCTAAAGCGACGAGTACAATATGAAAATGTAGGCGGGTGCGTCCACTTTGTACAACATGGACACGTAGGCGGGTGCGTCCACTTTGTACAACATGCTTATTGCGTAACCTACAGCCGCGTGGAAGTGTAATGGCGTGCTCTAACCATCGACAGCTGAAGCCGGACCTGCGGCGCTACTTAAGCGTGAATACTTCGAGGCGAGACAAGGCACGCATCGTGTCGTCGTTGTACATGGCTATCCTAATATTGCATCTGTACGCATCATCAGCACATACATGATTTGTGGCAGCTTGCACGTGCTCGGGTCGTGTCCATGTTAGCACGTCGATGGCGTTGTGAACAGCAGGGCCTGAGGAATCAGGTTAGCTTTTGTTCAATTATGAAAGACAAATACAAAAGGCTGTCCTCCCTAAAGTTATAACGTCCAACGGGACCTTTTGATAAGCATCCTATAGAGCTCCTTCGATAACTGCTAGCTATAGGGTATAAGCTCTCGCCAAAAGTGAGAATATGACGATACAGATGGAGATTTGTTCATTAAGATTTCCACTTAATTCACCTGCACAAATACTACAGCCACCTACACCATCACTACTACTTCTTCCACGACATAAATAATCACCCAAGCACAGCTTAGAAATTCTAATTTACGAATGATGTATCGATTACTATAGCTTAAATAAAACATTACTCCAGATAAGGATAACATAATATACAATGCAGAATTTACACAAATACAGCACAAGATAATAAATCAATCAATATTTTAAATAATGTGGAATATCAAAAGTGTAAACCACTGATAAGAAGATAAGACGAATGAATAGCAATAGATGTTGAGCGATTCAGCTACTTTTTGTAGTTATAATACATGTATCACACTTAAACTTGCCGAATTGGATATTTCTCGTAAAATAAAATCATATTATGTTTGGCAATATGATTTCATTCTAGAGGTTTGAGCGCGCTTCGTCATTTGTAGACCTCAAATTCAACAAAGGAGCCCGAATTCGTGTAGCAGCTCATTCCAGCACAGTTCCACTTACAGCATTTCTTCACTCGCCTTCGCCGCGCAACAGCGATGCGTCGTGTCCAAAACAGGTGGGATACCTGACGTATGAATAGAAGAAGAAGAAAAAGGAGATTTGCGTTAATCAAGGCATCGCCATCTCGAGCAAGATTTGGAAGTATACGATCATGAATCGCAGGCCAACATTTACATGCTGGACCATCTCACAGCAATGAAGTGGATCAGATCCTTTTGGTATGAGGGTCCAAGCGATGCGATACTGAACTGATTTCCAAACAAATAGCCAGTCCTTGGCCGTACGACCATCAAAGATTCCACAAAGACGCTGATGACCAAGTAGACATCAGCCTGCTGGCACAAATGCAGCTGCGCATTCGCATTCTGTTGGAATCAAGCGACATCATTTTCTACACAGCCAAGTTCGACACAGAAATGGAAGCTCTAATTGTCACACCCCTGCTCGGTGAATGCGCGGTCCCCACACCCCGGTTTTCGTAGTATTTCCCAAGATAGCAGCGACTTTACAGAGTCGGAGTCGAGAGGCTAAGGCGTCATCAACACGCTTCCAACGACCAGCGAAGAGAAAAAGTAGAAGCAGTTCGAGCTCTCAATTTTTCAAGGTGATCATCCCTATCTAGAGAGACTTATCATGGGAGAGATGCGTACAATGCAGTAGTGATTGTGTGAGGAGCTGAGGTAGGAAAATGAAATGTCACTCACACCGAATCTGACCCGTGGATACTTTCCTACGGCAATAACTATGCAATGATTTCGAGACGGCAGCTAAGCGATCGCTACAGCAATCGATAAACTCAATTGTTAAACGTGGTAGCTTATAATAAGCACTATTGACGCGTGCAACTTTTACTCCAAGTCAGCAGAAAAAAACGACTCGCCATTAATGAAATTTATAGGCCGTTTTGACATGCGATGCATGTTCAACTTGTACGTCTGTAACATGTAGCTGGTCCCGTTGAGCGGTTCCATATTGAGCATGAAGTTGACGCTTAGAGTCATAGGCTGTTGAAAGGGAGAGTAGAAGGCGTAGATCGGACTTGCGGCTGAAGCAGTGAAAGTACTAGTAAATTAAATCACGCGAATAAGTTTGATTACTATTGACATGATTTTCTTGGATAGTTGACGTTTAAGGTCCTCTCAGGTTCATCTTTTGTCTTTATTAACTCCCTTTTAGCTATGATGTGGCTCTTCATATCTCCATCTCTGATGAGCTATGTCTTGAAAGTTAAGGGGCGTCACTGCTTGGCAAGAGAGTGCTGGTGAACCCCACACCAGGTCCCGAATATATTTTTTTCACGTTTGCTCTTTTGGATTCTCGAACCAGAGACCACTAGTTTGATGCCACATTATCCCACTCGAGATATGAGCGTACGTACAGTCGATACAATACCGTTTGTGGAGATCGAGGTACCGACACACATTATTGTATAGCCACGTCACTTTTCAGCAACAGAACATAGCCACACCTTTTTAGCTTTCGAATCGTTTCCAAAAATGTATATCTGTAAATTGCACAAAGGCAGATTTCGAATCCATGCCAATTGTGGAAGGGTCGTGTCCCACTACTACACCACAAGTTCGGCCCAAAATTCAATTTTTTGATTTTACATCCATTAATCATGAAGTCTGCCCTAGATCAAGTTTACTCAATACACTGACATTGAAACGAAATTGGTGTTATAGCACCTGTTTATATTCATTGATCTATCATGATTCTCTGGGATCAGATTAGCCAGATTAATCGGTATTATACACTACAGTATTACGAAAGGACCCTGTATCACTGAGGGAGCTTTCTAGCAACAGCAGTATCATTATTGTTGGGGAGTGCAGCCTTCGTTAGAAAGGGCAGAACATCGATCGGTCCTTTTGTACCATCTCTTTGTTTACATGTTCTATTCACTGCACTATGTAGATCATTCTTATTTCCCGTGAAAATTCATCATTGTTTTTATAATTCTTTTTATTTCCTGATTTAATTTTTGGGATAACTTGGCATGTTCTTCGTTGTCCCTTTTGTCAGCACATTTTAGACACTGATAGAAACTGATGTGACATGCCGTTATATATACTCGTTCAACAGGTGCTCTAGATGCGGGCCTATGCTCACTGGCGTGGGAGGTTGCAAAGTCGAAGGCTCACAAATTAGCGAGGATAATCGGGGTCGTATTGCTTAAGCAATTGTTCACGGACCAATCATGTGGAAACTTCATTCGGAAAAATGTCAAGTGCGAGACGGATCACAGAATTCCATGTCGAGACGAGTAACCAGCCCCACCCCGGGTTGCTGAATAGTAATGCAAGTAACAGATATAAACTCGCATCGGGAAATCGGTGAAATCGAGTCCAAAGTTACTTTGCTGTATAGCATGTCTTGACATGCAGACCCGATTGTTAAGTAACACGAATTGTGCTCGTGGTTGGGGCACAGTTAAGAGATAAGCTGGACACAGTACAAGGCACATGCTCGATGTAACTAATGTCCAGCAGACCATCCGCTAAATGTTCATTTCTTGGAGATGCAGTTCCAGTGTAACCGGGACATCTGTTGACGAGCAGATCGTCATGTGTGACGAAGGTACCACGCAACGACAGCAATCGATCGTGTTAACCAGGAATCAATGCAGTACATCAAGAAACTTGTGAGGTAGCATGCAGGACATGAGACCCTGAACGAAGCAGCCGTGTATACTACATCGCCATCTACCAGCAACTACCTGCATCAACTCAACGAGAGCCACTGGCTTCTTTGTTGCATTGCCATCATTTCCAGATGGTCTTCACAATGAGGCGAAGAGTGTGGTGTTGTTGGCTTAATTTGACTGGCTCTAGATTTGCAATCTCATTGACGCGTTCATGTGGTTTTGTACGCACTCGGGTCAATTTAGTCGTACATTTAATCTAGTGCAGCCATCTGTACGCATGACATTTAGCAGTTTATGGAAGTCCGTGATATTCTGCTTCAGATCAAATACAATCTTAACCGACAGGATAAATGTAGCCACTTGTAGCACTGATAGAAGTTATATTTTCTGCTTCTTTAGTAGGCCCACGTAATACCGTTCGCAGGCCTACTTTTGACATACATGTGTGCTTAATCTTACGAACAACTGGGTTGACTTATGCCGTCAAGCTTGTCGCCTGACCACGTGAACTCGGTCAACGACGACCAGTGTGGAATTTCCACAGGATGAAGGCGAAAATCGACTGAAATCCCACAATATACGCGACCAAAATCAACATGTCCCTCGTAACATCCACGTTCTCCATGCCGTACTTCGTCAAAATCGCCTTTGCTTCATCCGACGTCTCGTGCTCAAATTGCTTGAACACGAACGACTCGAACGAGTACGAGTGGAACGCCACGTAGTATCCCCAGATCCAGTAGCCCGGGATCGACTCGCGAGGCACCATGAAGCCCTCGCACAGCATGAACATCCCAAACACACCGGCTCCCAGGGCAATACCGATGATGTAATGCGGCACGGCAGCTCCAATCACGTGCATCATTGACTCGGACACCACCAAGGACAGAAATAGATTCAACAAGAAGTATTCGATCGCGTTCAAATCGGCGAGCAGCACGACCAATGCCGTCGATATGACTGCAATCAAGAAAATACCTGGGAGTGTCGCTAAGAAGTTTGCACACACGTAGCTCACCACACTCAGAGAATTGTTGGCACGTTCACGAGCAAATACAACACGCTGCTCAATGAAGAACGGGAGTACGGCCACTGACATAAACACCAGGAACGCCTGTACGTAGAACAGTAGTGGGACCAGATCCTCTTCACTTAGATGCTCGTTCGTGCTCAGGTACATGGTGCCGACCATAAAGCTCAGACAGAAGTACATGAACAACCGGATCCAGTAGATGCCCGGGTTCCGGATGTTGTTCAACGTGTTGCGGTACATGAGCACACTGAACTGCCGCAGCGCTGAGGGCGCTAGTTTCTCCACGTCCGGCAAGTGCTGCAACATCTTGCGGTCGCTCTCGATCCGTAGACTCAGTTCCTTGCGGATCCCGCTCCGAGCGTACGATTCCACGAGCGAAGGCACGTCTGCGTGGTCTTCAAAGTCCGTATTCACGAGACTGATAAAGTACTCGGCTGGGTTCATGTACTGCGGACAGTCGTACCCGGCAGCTGCAAAGTGGGGGATCATCTGCGGCCGCGGCCCGCAGTACACGGTCTCCCCCGCCGACAGCACGACGACGTTCGTAAACATGTCGTAGACCAGCGACGACGGCTGGTGGATCGTACATAACACTGTCTTGCCCTCACTGCAGAGCTGGAGAATGAGCTTCATCACGTTGTGCGTCGCGCTCGAGTCGAGGCCGCTCGTGGGTTCGTCGAGGATCAAGATGCTCGGGTTCGACAGCAGCTCCATGGCGATACTGAGGCGCCGCTTTTGGCCGCCTGAAAGGCCCTTGCGGAACATGTCGCCCACGAGGGTGTCACGACAGGTGCCAAGGCCCATGCCCTCCAGGACGTCGTCGACGCGACTGTCGATCTGCTTGGACTTGACAGTTGTAGGGAGACTGAGTCTGGCAGCCATGCGCATGGTCTCGAGCACCGTGAAAGACCCGAGGAGCGAATCCTCTTGGGCTACGTAACTCGTGACGGCCCGGAACGTCTTGGACACGCGGAGCTCGCCATTGAGCTCCAGGTCGCCCGTGACTTCGCCCGAGCTAATGCGGTCAGCCAGAAGGTCTACGAGTGTCGTTTTGCCGGACCCGGACGGCCCCATGATGGCCGTGAGTTCGCCCGGGGCGCAGCGGCCACTCACGTTTTTCAAGATGCGTTTCCGGCCATCAGGGGCGTCGGGCGATTTCCGAGTCGCGACCGAGTAGCTGAGGTTGTGCCAGCTGTAGACGCAGGGATTCGAGTGGTGCGGCGGGTACGCGGGCGTCCCGAGTTTGCCGCCCGTTTCAAGCAAGTTGAGAGCGGCGTAGGGCGTCGCGAGTGGAGAAGCCATGAAAGAGATGGACGACGGCCGGTCCGGGTCGAGCACGAAGAAGGACAAGCTGTTGCTCGTAGCGACGCTGTCGGTCGACGAGCGGACGGTCGAGCGTGCGAATTGAATTGTGACGGCTCTGTCGGCTGACTGCCAAGTGCCAAGGGCGCACTTCCCCACAATGGCTACCGACCTACGTACGTACGTACGTACCTATCTATCTACCTATCTACGTCTGTGAGTTTTTGTCGACGGCTTGAAGCGATAGAGCAACGCGACGCAGGAAGTACCGCGGATGCGGACGACAAGAGACGGACCGGCTGGTTACGGTCAGGCATGGCTGACCTTGGCAGAGGCCATACGCGGGTGCAAACAGACGGACAGATGATGGATGTTGTTGATGCTGCTAATGATGATGATGTCGTGAGTTCGCCACTCGGATGGTTTTTATCCACCCACCCACCCACGTGTGGAAGAAGCGTGGGACTCGATTGGGGGTTACGACGCTATTCGCGAAACAGGACAGCGAGGTCGACAATGAGCCTCATGTCACGGCTTCTCTAACGGCTTATAGAAGCCTCTCAAGCTTTGCAGACCGTCAAGATGGGAACTGCTATACTTAGATGCAGTTTTGTCCTGATATTTCACAACCGTCAAATCCCACAAGTTACGCGTTTGTTAGTCGCGTCGATCATGAGAGTGTTAAGCGGACAACCAGCTTGCTTTGACGTATAAATCGCCAGGAAGTCAGTTTCAAAAGGTCGTGCAGCATGTACCGCATGTCGGACCCGCATTTTTGCCCTTGGGTTGCCATATATCAGGCAGTAAGCACAAGGTGTGGTCGACAGCTGGAAGTCGAGCTCGCGGGTCGTAAACGCCACGACGGAATCGAATTTCGAAGGGATTTGTATTGCAGGTTCGATGAATCGATGGACTTGACGCAAGCACGAATGATGTGCTGTTGTTCGATTCTTTAGATGGTACCTCCTAACAACTTCCCCCAAAACCTGGTCCTGCTAGCATCCCTGCTGCTGTAAGAACGAGCGTGCGATCAATTAACAGGTTGAAGGTCTTTAACGTTTTGTGGACAGCGACAACACATCGCCACGTTCAACGTTTCAGAGTTGCGCACCTAGGCCACAGCTTGCGGTGATGTCGAGATATCTCTGGTCGACTAACGATGATCAGGCTTATATTGCAGTAAAGCAAGGTACAGGTCGCCTACCAATAAAGAACCGTATTAAGCTAGCATCGTCGTGGACTCGATTGCCATCATGTAGTCAATGCGCCCATCATGTGGTTGTCGCACTTAGTTTTGAGGACGACGTAGCGAGGAGGCGATGCATCACAGCACGTGTCGCCGCGATCTAGTTCGTGACAGGCTTAACGTAGAAATACCTGGTGGCCAAAACAGTGTTCGGGTAACGCCATGGGTCTGCTCAAGATCGAGAACATCCGAATCTTCGACAAATGAAGAGTGGTTTAAGCAGAGCTACCCTTACTTCTTTGTCGGAGGAAGACTTCCAGACTCGTAGAGTGCAACGAGATGAGCCTGTTACATGTAATTAATCCTTGCTACTTGTTTCTGAGAGTATTATCTCATAAAAGTTGATAATGTTCGTGAACATTATCATAAGGGGTAATATTTCGAAACACTCACCGATCGGCTGATGTGGGCCGTCAACAGCCAGCTCTGGCAGATCAATCAACCATGGATGTAACGGGGCACCCTGAAGCTTGTACTGATGACAGTACAAGCTACTTATTCTGATGACTTAATAAGGCGGTGCCGCGTAACTTCACGTACACTGGTACGTGCAGAGGAAGACGGTAAGAAGAAGCGAGTACTTGGTTAGAGTAAAAAGTAGAACTGTATTTATAATAGTTAATGTCTGCAATAAATCACTATTTATCTTCATCTAACTGTGTCTGAATACAAATGTGTAAATCAACTATCTGCTCACCACTCATTGCGTGCGTCTGTCGTGGCGCGTCTTCGTTGGTTGATATAATGGCCTATATCAACCAATCAGGAACTACTCGTAAGTGCTGCAGAATATTGTCCATATGACAATATTCTGAGAAAATAACTCTTATAGTTATATTCGATTATCAATTCTTATAAATTGTTATGTAACGTTTCATCCCGCTACATCACCCACCCTTAACCATCAGTCACTTTAGTGACTGATTGTCAAAGTAGCTACTCGTCCCAAATCATTTGGGACAGGATTTGCACTTGTTGGTCCGAGTCCACTTTCCAACATCTCATCGCATGGTTAACAAGCCCATGCGATGCGCGAACCAGGTTGCTAAGAGTGCGTCTGCACGTCTCTGTGCGGACGCCGAAGCAGAAACCGCTGCAACCGATGTGTCATCGGTTGCTATAGCGTCTCAGTCTGGATCACCTCGTGATGCAGGCGCTGGTCACGAAGACACTCATGTCTTCACAGAGTATGAGCTCGGTGTCTCATACTCTCCTGATACGGAAGAGGGATCCGTATCGAAGGCGATTGAAACCAAGCCGCCTGCCAAGCGTGGCATGGATGATGCTACGCGTCGTAGCATCTTTGGTTCGTCTGACGAATCAGATGGACCATCGCCAAAGCGAAGGCGTTCGAGATCGCGAGACTCGGGCGCTCACAGTGGAGTCGGTTCTCCTATTGACACCACTTCGCAGCGAGGTACCAGTACTTCCGTCGACACGTCGCAGGAAGAGCGGGACCGCAACGTTTTGCTTCTCGCTCCCGAAAAGAAGGCATGGCTACCTCCCAAGTCAGTCATGGATCTCTTGTCGGCGACGACAAGTGATCGCTATCGAACACGATTGTTCGATTCATCAAGGATCCATCACCTTGACCCCAGTGCGAAAGACTATCGCGCTGAAAATGAGCCCTTCATCGATGCTTTCTTTAAGCATCGATGGTACAGTGGGAATCACAAACGTGATGGTCCCTCACTGCTCCAAGCGTGGAACGCTTATATCCATAACCTTGAGGATGTAGGTCGTGACGTTTGGAACGACAAACTTATCAAAGCTCGTAATGAGTTTAAGAAGCGAACCCCGACAGGTGCACGCTACAAGCTGCATCGTCTGTCAAGGGAGAAAGGATTACCCTGCCTCTCTTGGGGAGACTCGTGCCCATGTTGTGTGAACAACTCTGCACGAGCACCTAAGGAAGCTTACCTCCCTAATAGCCCGTGGTGGCGCGTACGTATCTCTATTGAGATGTACGAAGGGATTGACAACTTGAAATCCCTTTACGACCGTGCCGGGAAGACTTTCTCCGGCGGTCCTTCTGCGGCACAGGATGTGCCGCGTCGTACTGCTCAACCAGACCCAGTACGTCGATCATCAGTTGGGAGCGGGGCTCCCAAGAATCCCAGGACGGGGGATAGCCGCGCCACCGGACGAGATAACTCGTCCGACGTCCGTTCACGTCGCGGTGGTTCAACAGCTGCTCAACTAGATAGCGCTGGCCACCGCGAGAGTCCTCTAATGGAGGTGGAGGAGGAGGAAAGACGCTTTCCACACGATCATGGGGATCCTTGTGTTCCCGAGAGCTTCTTTGATCGCGTAACACAAGGGTTACGCAACGATCTCGAACATGAGCGGGACAGGCGTCTCCAAATGGCGGACACTGTCTCGAAGCATCGAGCTGAGTTTGCCTTTGCTCAGCTTGAGAACGATAGATCTCTGACGTCTCTGCGTGACGAGCTAAGGGTAGCTCGTGTGGATATTGACCGGTCTCGGGCTGAGATAACTGCTCTTCAGACCCTTGTTGATGCCCACCATCGGGAGCACAAGGCTGTCTGTGAGATGCTTGAGCGCAAGGGCGTCCTTCATCGGAAAAAATAGTTCGCATCGTGCGTGGCAATCAGATATTGTATGCGTTGCCTAGGCGATGCAATACACGAAATGGGCCGTTGTACTTGGGTAGAAGTTTACTGCCACCCAAGTTAGTCACTACATGCTTTGGTAGGTTAACCGTAGACAGTAGGACTAAGTCACCTTTGTTAAATATAAGTGTGTTTGCCCTTCCATTCTAGTCAGCGTTTAGCTTTTGCTTATCCACCGCTTCGACGATGGGGTCTTGCACAAAACGGACTACCGTTTCAGGAGCCATTATGAACTCATCTGATGACTCGTTAGATTTAGTGCGCTGTGAGTGCACTGCAGCGACATCAATCTTTCTTCAGTGAGGGCTTTCTCGCTCTCACTGGCATCATCTTCTTCGATATCGATGTTGTCGACATCGGCATCAAACGCAATGACCTCTTCGTCAGAGAGTGATGAGCGTGAACCAAATCGTTTTTTGCTCGCGCGAGTCCCTCCCCCCCTTAAACCAGAGTTACAATCGATTAAGGTGGGTACACGCGGATTGCGCAAGCCAATAACGTAAAACGGTGTATGTGTCGTGGACGCATGCACCGAGTTGTTGATGGCAAACTCTACCATCGGCAAGAACTCACTCCAGCTCGTGAAGGAGTGTACGTATCCTCGAAGTATCTCTTTAAGGACACGATTGGCACGTTCCGTCTGACCATCTGAGTCTGGATGATCAGATGTAGACATCTTCAAGCGCGTTCCTAGTGATTTGAACATGGAACGCCAGAAATCAGCTGTAGAGCGTGGATCTCTGTCTGATACGAGTTCACGGGGCAACCCATGAAGTCGGAAGATGGTGTCAATAAAGACACAAGCACAGCCACTTGTCGTGATTGACTCTGGTACAGCCACAAGGTTGACCATTTTGCTGAACCTGTCAACGAATACGAGAATACCCGTATTCCCGCGTGCGTCTTTGGGTAACCCGAAGACGAAATCCATTGAGATGGATTCCCAGCACTCAGCCGGAACCGGTAGAGGCTGTAAAGGTGCACGAAGTGAAGGACTTGACTTCACTCGTTGACAGACTTCGCATGCGCGAACATACTTCTGCACAAACTGATACTGGCGGGGCCAGCAAAAGTCTCGACTCACCGTGAGATTTGTTTTCTCACGGCCACGATGTCCTCCTATAGGAGCATCGTGATACTCGAACATGATCCGCAAACGCAGAGCAGTATCATCTGGGATGACAACACGTGGTGTGTCACCAGTAACGGCTGTATAATACAGTAAAGCGTTGCGAGTAGTGTTTCGATCTGATGCAGATCGATACGCAGACGATAATCGTTTCAACGATTCTCGAGATGGTTGTGAGAGACATGTCAACAACTTCACATCTCGCCATCTTTGGCATACGCCCGCATCACACTATCATGTAACGTTGACGATGGCATTGTGGACGTCATAACCGCAACAGTGGCTGCTTTACTGTTGGGTTTCACGACTGATTCAAAGTCGGGACGACGTGAGAGTGCATCAGCGACAACATTAAGTCGTCCTGGTTTGTACTCGACCGTAAGGTTGTATTCTGCAAAGAATGACAACCACCGCGCCATTCGTTGTGAAAGGTGCGGGCTGTTCACTGCCGTGCGTACTGACGCATGGTCAGTGTAAACGATGAAGGGTCTACCTCCTAATAGATAGACTCTGAACTTTGCGAGTGCATACTTCATGGCAAGGAGTTCCTTGTCATGCACTGGATAGTTCCGCTCAGCTGGTTGCAGCTGACGCGACTGATAGCAGACGACGCGTTTAACGCCTTCAAGGTCGTACTGCATTAATGCGCAGCCGATTGCGAAATCGCTGGCATCACAGACCACATGAAATGGCCTGTCCTGATCGGCAATTGCTAGGAATGGGGATTGTATCAAGCTCTGCTTGATACCATCAGAGGAGCGCTGACATTCAGCGTTCCATAACCACCTCTCGTTCTTTTTCAACAAACGAGAGGGGTGCACAGTCATCTCGGCGTAATTGCGTGAATACGTGTGCAAATACGCCGCTAGCCCAATGAATATCGAAGATCTTTGACATCAACCGGCACAGGCCAGTCGGTGATCGCTTTGATCTTTTCGGGATCAGGACGTTCACCGTTCTTACCAACGATGCACCCAAGAAGTGGTATTACGCTTGCTGCAAATATACACTTCTTGAGGTTTGCATACAATTGATACTTTCGCATGATTGTAAGAACCTGTCGGACGTGGTATCTGTGAGCCTCAACGTCCGACTTTCCATCCATAGCCCGACTATGAATGAAAACTTCATCGAAATAATTCGGCGCGAATTCTCGTACTGGTCTCAACAGATGTGATACACATCTGTTGAACGTGGCAGGGGCATTACTAAGCCCTTGTGGCATTACTAGCCATTCCCAGAGCATGCCACTAGGCGTGCTCACTGCGGTATAGGGTATATCCCGTTCTCACATAAGGATTTGATAGAAGCCATCCATCAAATCCATGGACGAAAAGATGGTACTCTTTGACATACCATCAATGATCACGTCCTTCCTCGGTATCGGCGTCTGAGCCGGTACCGTTGCAGCGTTCAACTTGTTGAACGCGTGCACTATCCGCCACCCTCCTGTTGCTTTTCGCACACAGAAGGTCGGAGAGCTATGTGGGGAAGTTGATTCCCTCACATGGCCCGCAGCTAAACGATCGGCAAAGAACTTGTCGATCGCAAGTACTTGTTCACGAGGCAGTGGCCACTGCTTCATGACACAGTACTTCGAGCCTGGTTTAAGCTCGACTTCGTGTCGAATACCTTTATCCTTCGGTAATTCGCACGGAACAGTTTCAGGGAATACATCCTTGAATTCAACCAAATCTTCATAGAGAGGATTTGTCCTTGAGCGATTCCCACGATTGGGAGTCATATCGCTTAACTCGTGTCTTTTCATCGAGGACACTCTCGTCCATCGATGAACTACTGAGAACTCTCTCGTTCTCAGTGAACACTGTTGCTGACCTTATGTCGGCTACACACTCTTCGTCAGCGACGAGTACGCAGATCTGCTTGACTTTGCCACTACGCAGATCACGCAAGAACCTTTTATGTTCGAGCGTTAGCAACTGAGTGATCTCCGAAGTCAACTTCGGAGGCGCAATCCGATCAAGTGTATGAGCGCCCACACTTGATCCGTTATTGACTATGACATTCAATGTCTCTGTCATTTCCTGGGGACTTATTCCCTCAGGCCTCGAAGGACTTATTCCTTTGGCTTCCCGGGGACTTATTCCCTCGGGTTTCGGGGAACTTGTTTCCGCCGTATTTGTAATATCGGGACTTATTCCCTTAACTTCCTCTACCTATGGTTGCGCAACCACAGCGAGATCCTCTACAAAAGACTCTCCAGTCGATCTAGGATTATGGTATCGCTTAACCTGAGCGATCGATTGTTTCTCTTCTAGATGTTCCCCGCTAGGGATACATCTTTGTCCCGGTCCACTCGACTTATTCGAGTGGTGGACCTTCGGCGCAGCCTGTGTTTCCTCACAGCCGCCGGAACTTTGCTCCGAAGTGTAACTGTTTGTTACACTCAGGTTTTGTGCAGTCGTACCAACCACCGTACCACAAGTGAGGCCATCGCACTCACTCGTAGTATATCCACACGCTTGTGTACGCTCCAAAACGTTCATCAGATGGTCATCTGATGAACAAGCGGAAGGCATCGTTACTGTTCGATGTTGCCAGTTTACCCGTGGTTCGTACCTTCTGAGCCACGGTATTCCAAGGATGACATCAAATTTGTCATCCCCAAATCCAATACGATAAAGTCATCGTCGTATTGGGTATCTTCTAGCGTATAGTGGATCTTCACTATACGCTTCATGACGGTTACGGATGCGCCTGTCGCAAGACGTACCGTCATCCTCGTAGGAGGTGTGTCACATTCACTGAACTTAAAGTGACCATCTTCTAGCGATTGGCGTCGCACAAAATTGTTGGACGCCCCACAATCGACTAGAGATCGAAGGGACAACTTATTCGTCACTTCGAGTTTCAAGGTAATGAGTGAGATCTCATTACCTGGAGCAGCAACGCACAACGTTTGTGTGTTGGGAGCAACCTTCATCAAGAGGCCTACAAATTCTCTTGACGTTGCTGTACCAGTAGGGTGCTCCGCACCTACTGATCCTGTCCATTTTTGACGGTCCATCCCGTTGTTGCGTCTTTGCACCAACAGCGGACCCGCGTCCCTGCCCCTTTCTAATGGGTGGACGGTCACTACGCCCAGTGTTGCGAGACACTGGACGAGGGGCACTACACTCGTAAGCGTAGTGTCCTGTCTTTTGACATATGTTGCATTTCTGCAACTTCTTGTAGTCGATAGAGCGAGCCTTCTCGCTCTCTACATAACAAAGTTCCATCGGCTCTGGACCTCCGCTGTCATATCGTCTCGGTTGACGATATGATGTCGAGCTGGCGCGAGTCTGTCTCAGACTGAAGTCTTCCTGTTCCGAAATGGAAATGGTTGTTCTGGTGAATCTAGTTCAAGCCGGAACAGGTGAGTCTTGACGGGACCATCCGCAAGACCCTGCACGAACGACGAAACCAACGTGTATTCATCCACCGGATTGGAACTTATACAACTCATGAGATGTCGTATATGTTGCGCGTAAGCGTGCACATCACGCGTACCCTGCTTGAGCTTCAAGAGTTCGGTTCGAGCTCTGAACTCAGCTCTAGGCGGTTCAAACATTTGTCTGAGGCGCGACTTGAAGACTCCCAACGACCCAAACGCATATGAGTCGTGCAACTTGAGCCCCAGTGCCCAAGTCTTGGCATCCCCTGCCAGATTTGACTGGGAAAATGCAACTTGCGTATCCCCGTCGTCGATGCGACGCGCCCTTATGGCGTCATCCAATTCGATGAACCATCTCAAGAGGGAGTCCTCTTCGACTCCCTTATACTTAGAGATGTCAATCTTCAAAGTCTCGGGTCGACGCGAATGCATCGACCCAACAGCAGCAGCCTGCTGCTGTCTCAACAGTTCAAACTGTTGAGCACCCTGTTCTCTCAACAACTCTGCTTGTTGAGAACCTTGTTGGTGAAGCAAGGCTACTTTTTCGAGTTCAGCGTCAAGTTCATTTTGAATGAACTTGGCGATAGTAGCATGTTGGGCATCTCTATTGAGAGCCTCTAGCATTACGCTAACAGCGTGGATTACCATGGTTGAGCCCATCCGTTCAACCTCATCCCATTCGACATTGCTCAAATGGGAGTAGCCGTTACGCGTAGCGTATAAGCTTTGGTCATCATCATCATCTAGCATATTCATGTTAGATGTGATCGTGGTCCTTGGACGGACTACGAAGTGCTACCAGGTGTGACGGGGCACCCTGAAGCTTGTACTGATGACAGTGCAAGCTACTTATTCTGATGACAGAATAAGGCGGTGCCGCGTAACTTCACGTACACTGGTACGTGCAGTGGAAGACGGTAAGGAGAAGCGAGTACTTGGTTTAAGTAAAAAGTAGAACTGTTTTTATCATAGTTAATGTCTGCAATAAATCACTATTTATCTTCATCTAACTGTGTCTGAATACAAATGTGTAAATCAACTATCTGCTCACCACTCATTGCGTGCGTCTGTCGTGGCGCGTCTTCGTTGGTTGATATAATGGCCTATATCAACCAATTAGGAACTACTCGTAAGTGCTGCAGAATATTTGCCTTTATGACAATATTCTGAGAAAATAACTCTTATAGTTATATTCGATTATCAATTCTTATAAATTTTTATGTAACGGTTCAACTCGTTACAATGGACGCGCGCAATGAGTAATGAGCGAGACTCTAGCATACATTTTCGTAAATAAATTGATTGAAAATAGGACTAAACATAAGTTTGATCAGGACTAAGTTCTAATAAATACGTTATACCATTACCAGCCACGTGTCAGTTCGTAGTTGCTTTTCCTTCCACTGCGTAGTTTACAGAAGTAGCGAGGCACCACTTGTTGGAAGTGCATGATGCACTGGATTCGACTCCAGAGATTCGACCCATAATAGGGTATGTGTAATATGTTCTTTAGGGCTCTTTGCATAATAATACGTCGTATAGCAGCTAGATGTATGGATAGTTCTCACTTGTAGATTGAAAAACCACTGATGAGACCCCCGGCGGGGGGGCCGAAACGCGGCTGGTGCGCGGTAATATACAAGTCGTTTAATTTACTTGACTCCTACTTTAAACACCACTCACACTGCTTTCAGTGAAAGTAACTCCAGACTGGTCGTCCAGTGTGTTGCTCCGATGCCACGTTACACCTGGTAGCACTTTGTAGTCCTTCCAAAGACCGAAAGACCCGTTCAACACGAACATAGTTGACTACGAAAGCGACGACACCTATCACGGCACCCATTTACGTTACTCCCGTTTGAATGACGACTAATGGAGTGTAAATAAACGAATGAGCTCGACCGTTGGCGATAAAGTGTTTGGTCTCTGCTATCCTCAAGGGATAGGGACCAGCAGCATTCCGTAATTACGAAGTTTTTGCAAAGAGAACTTTAAGCGTCGCGGGATAAGTGAACCTTCTGCATTATCAAGGTGAGCAGCAGACAAAGCTTCTGAGACAGCAACAGTCCTAGTCTGCTTCGACGGCGACAACGCGTGAGCGTCGACGCGAGACTCTTAAGTTATAAAGTCTTAAAGTACCGGGGAGTCGTGCAAAACTCCCTGTTGATATGGTATCTCTAAGTGAACGATGTCATTAAGGCTCGCCACATCGAAGACGATTACTTGCAAGTTGCATTGTCCAAATCGAATTTGTCACGGCGTGCCAAAACTTGGGCCCCGAAACTTCAACTACATGATCTTACCGTGTTTGAATCATCGGTGGCCTTTAAGACTCTGCTTAGCAAGCTTTTGACCCCAAAAGTTGATAATAGAACTCTTTCGGGGATGCTGAAGATAAAACAAGGTAAGCGTGACGATCATGCTTACGCTCAGCACGTACGTTACCTTTCAGATTGCATGGTAGCGAACACTGTAAGTGAATTCATGTTCATCAAAATATTCTTACAGGGCTTTACAGATGGACCCATGAGATTACCAATTTTACATCTAGTTTGAATCGCTTGAGGAATAGATTGCAAATTTGATGCAATAGGGATTTAGTGCAAGACAAACTCGCACTAGCTTGACCACTTATCTTCCTTAGAGACAGGAAGAGCAGGGAGATCCTGATCCAATGGACCTCTGCAGTATTGAGAGCATGAGACCTCGCTCTTTAAACAGTAAGTAATTGCAAAGATGCAATCGCTTTCAGAATTTATAGCACAACGCTTACAAGTGTAGTGTTTCATGCCCAGCTTCTCGAAACAGTAAGCAAAGTATTCAAACGTCTGCCAAGAAGGGCATCAAACGCGGATCCGGCGCTGTTGCGAAGTCAAAGCAGCGTGGCGGACCATCACAACGGATCGGGTTCATTAGGGGTGGACCGCCCTACTATTCCAGCAACCTCAATGGATTTGAATGTTTTTTGATGAAAGTTGTCTAAATCCCCCAATCCTTGTGTGTCTCTGCATTTGGATGAGTCACCTGACTTTAAGGTCAGTAAAAACTTAACGAAAGACATTTCGTCTAGCTCTAACGGAGAATTCTGTACCGGGTGAGTCTCAAGACTCACTAACCCATCTACGTCACTAGTCAATCCATTAACGAGTGTATGTAGCTGCTCGCTAGTATCATCCAGTGAATTAACAGACGCCGTGCGTTGCATAACCGTATTCTGCCGTCGTTGTCGTCTCTGTGACGAGACTGAACATCTTAAAGAGACTGGAAATTAATCGTCTCTAAGGTTGTTTGAAAGATCATCCTTACCTTGCTCTGTACAAGAGCCGGTGTCATTACCGACATCCAGGACATCAATGTCCCCAAAATTGACATGACCGTCAACCTTAATTTGCTAATCACCAGAGCCGGTGTCATCACTGACATCTGGGACATCAATGTCCTCAACAAGATTAACATGCTCATCAACCTTAATTTGCCCGATTTCAAACTGATGTCATTGCCGACATCTGGGACTACAATGTCTCCAAGGAGACAATCTACGTCAACCTTAATTTGCCCAGTGTCAAAATTGATGTCATTAACGACATCTAGGATGACACTTTCTCCAGGAGACGAACTGCGTCAAAATTACTTTTTCATTTTCGATCCAATATCATCAGTAAAATCTGGTATTGATTCACCCCCAGTGATATCACCATCCAATGGGTATTTATGTGCCACTTTACGCTCATCAAATGGGCCTCGCCTTTGATGACTTAGTATTTTACCAACAATGTCGTGACTGACATTTAGTGTGTCGCAATCACGGCCGACACTACTCAGTGGGTGCATGAGTGCCACTCCACGCTGATCAGATGGGTTAAACCCACGATAACTTGGCTCTAGGCCAACAATGTGTTCAGCATTTAGTGACTCTTTATTACAACGATTATCACTCGACAAAGTACATGCCGTTACACTAACCGTTTACGAGCTCGACTCGTAACTTATGTTTTTGACATCGTCCAACTCAAATGAGCTCATCTATTCGGATGTCCATCACACTGACTGTCTCAGTCCGTGGCTCGCGCAATTAGCGCTTCTGTTCTTAGCAGATGTGGGCTCATGACCATCCAAAGCTAAGATAGGAACAGTGCGTGTTTCGCCTAAGGTCTTGGACCTCCAATCGATCCATGGCCATTGGCGTTCTAGCCAAGCAATACTCATGAAACGAGCATACCTCTCATCCACGCTAAGGACTAGACATCGTTCGATCATGTCAAAGTCCCAAACTTTACGCGTAACTCCACAGGAACTTATGGCACAGCAACTAATGCACCTGTCGCCAAGCAAACAGTCTAAGCCTAATTCTTTTGCGCTTTAGCGCCTCATCATACTGCTGACTACATTCCATGCAACAACGTTTTACATAATCTCCAGAACCCCCCCCCAGGTCGATTATTATCGACCACGACTCGTCGAGCAATGCTCATCGAATGGATCGAGCAAAACCCATGGGTCTTAGTCTAGCTAATGAGGAAGAAGAAGCTAAACTTTACGCTGTTAAGCAGCGTTTTATTATCCGTAATATTTTATGTGCAGAAGCATCAAACGTCTTTGCTTCAGTTGTTCTATGAGAAGGACCAGACAGCATTATTCATGCCGACCTCTCGTCACGAACCAACTAGTTGGTAAGGCGCGGGAAAAAGGTCGATTCTCATTAGGCGCGGGGCGCCCTGCTGGGGAGAATTAGGCTCTGTTGTACCTCTGAGAGGTAGTGAGTAACAAGGCCTAGCCCTTAGTGGCCTCAAGGGCAATACAACGAAGCATGATTAGAAGCCAGGCTTGTTAGTTTCAAAAGAAACGGTGCAGGGCTTGGCTACACTTGTACAGCATGGACCGCCATCGACCTAAAAGCGATTGCTGTCGGTAGTAGCATGGTTTATAGAAAGAGTTGATTGCATCAATCACACCCCGTCGGCGAACAGCACCTCACCTCAATGCCTAACTCATTCACACTGTTCTTGCAATTTGAACAGACAGCGGGTGTTGCTGCAGAGGCGAGCAACGGGGGCAAGACCACAAACGTGTGCGCGGTAGCCGGGACTGAAGCTGTCGGTTAGCCTGATCATCGTAAACACGTATCAATAGCTTGACCAATGGATTATTGTAACTGACGAAGAGGGTATCGATGCGAATAACTGGCAAAGTTCGACAGGCAGCGCGCATAGACCCTACTGTACTATAGATGAAGTCATTGTTATTGTGTATGATGTCTTTGTCACCAGCTTTAACGACACACGGGTCAAGCTACAGCCATCGCCAGTAAAGGCTGAAGCTTACAGCCTGTACGCCGAGTTGCATGCAAAGTGTTTCACCTCGTCTTACAGCAGCACTATTATCATCTCACTTTTTGAGTGAGCATACAAGTTAGGGAGAGTTGGTCAAGACAGTCTTTTGGACCCATCAGTCTTGGCGTCTTGATCGTCAAAATGCGTCCTTCTTCCTTTCTGTAGACGTCGGTGGTCGTAAGAGTATCCCTTGCACGGAGCTGGCCTTACTGTATAAGTGTATTTGGGATGCATAATTACTACAACTTCGGTCAGGGCCTCCGGTTGATGACAGAATGCTAAACTGGGAGCTTGAAGAGTGGAGCTATTAGTGATTGTGCGCTGCGTGATAGTCGAACCTTTCAAAGCCAGTTTTCCAGATACGCGTCCGTAAATAACGCGTGTTGTAACGTACGCTTCCTACCAAGTGCTATCTAGCATGTCCACTACTCATAGGTAGAATTGCTTTTTTAGGTGCAAGCCTTTACTATGTGCACAGGATGCGACAGCGCAGAGGGCGTGAGTCATACACGCACCAATGCCCGCACGTAATTTATCGAATGCAATCAAGGATGAACAAAGAGCAAATACACAAATGCTCGATGCGATAAAGCAGCGAAAGTCTCGCGTCTTCGGAGAACAAGAAATGTGCTGAGATCTTTATTTGTAGTACACGATAAGCCGGATAAAAATGGTCACGGTCACATCCCTTTCTGAGGGATTGCAAGCACCTCCACCGACTGAATTTCTCTTCTTTATCGATCAAGTAGATGTCGTCTGCACTTTTGTTGTGAAGCCGCTACGTGACAGTATCATCCTTGGTCTTTTTTTGCATCATCCTTCTCTTCAACGCATCAGCACATCATTGAGTGTCTATAGTACCAATTAGTACTGCGACGCTATTGTTTCGACATCCCAACACACAACCCATTTGCCGATTTCCGAAATGTGTACGCGAATTTACAGAGCTCGATTCGGTTTTCCGGACTGAATTATTGAATCAAAAGGCGAGCTACAGTGTTGTTGCTCCTCTGTCTGATTTCTTTTACACTTCACTAGCTGAACGTTACTTTCCGATGCACATGCTATATTCTTCCTTTCTTGTTCAAAACGACATGGACATTTTTATTCGAAGGCCAAACATAGCTGTTTGATACTGCATACAACGCTGATGACACGCTAGACGAGCTGCACCGACGCATGGCTATGTCTTGACCAGTGAATGTCTACAAAGGCGGGTGCTTGCAAGATTAAAAAGGTTTGACTAATTACTTGTGCAGTGCTCACGAAGCAGCCATCATCCCCATGGTGCTACAGCTATTGCATCTACATTATGCGCCCGATGTAACGGGGTGAATCGTTACATAACAATTTATAAGAAATTGTTAATAGAATATAACTATAAGAGTTATATTCTCAGAATATTGTCATAAGGACAATATTCTGTAGCACTTCCAAGTAGTTCCTAATTGGTTGATATAGGCCATTATATCAACCAACGAAGATGCGCCACGACAGACGCACGCAATGAGTGGTGAGCAGATAACTGATTTACACATTTGTATTTAGACATAGTTAGATGAAGATAAATAGTGATTTATTGCAGACATTAACTATTATAAATACAGTTCTACTTTTTACTCTAACCGAGTACTCGCTTCTTCTTACCGTCTTCCTCTGCACGTACGAGTGTACGTGAAGTTACGAGGCACCGCCTTATTCTGTTATCAGAATAAGTAGCTTGTACTGTCACCAGTACAAGCTTCAGGGTGCCCCGTTACACCTGGTAGCACTTCGTAGTCCGTCCAAGGACCGCGTTCACATCCAACATGAATATGTTGGATGATGAAGATGACCAAAGCTTTCACGCTACGCGTGACGGCTACTCCCATTTGAGCGATGTCGAATGGGATGCGGTTGAACGAATGGGTTCGACCATGGGCATCCATGCTGTTAGCGTCATGCTAGAGGCTCTCAATAGAGATGCCCAACATGCTACTATCGCCAAGTTCATTCAAAATGAACTTGACGCAGAACGCGAGAAAGTAGCCTTGCTTCACCAACAAGGTTCTCAACAAGCAGAGTTGTTGAGAGAACAAGGTGCTCAACAGTTTGAACTGTTGAGACAGCAGCAGGCTGCTGCTGGCGGGTCGATGCACTCGCGTCGGCCCGAGACTTTGAAGATTGACATCTCAAAGTATAGGGGGGTCGAAGAAGACTCCCTCTTGAGATGGTTCGTCGAATTGGATGACGCCATAAGGGCGCGTCGCATCGACGACGGGGATATGCAAGTTGCATTTGCCCAGTCAAATCTGGCAGGACGTGCCAAGACTTGGGCACTGAAGCTCAAGCAGGGTACGCGTGATGTGCACGCTTACGCTCAACATATACGACATCTCACGAGTTGTATAAGTTCCAATCCGGTGGATGAATACACGTTGGTTTCGGTGTTCATGCAGGGTCTTGCGGATGGTCCCGTCAAGACTCACCTGTTCCGGCTTGAACTAGATTCACTAGAACAAGCCATTTCAATTGCGGAGCAGGAAGACTTCAGTCTGAGACAGGCTCGCGCCAGCTCGACATCATATCGTCAACCGAGACGATATGACAACGGAGGTCCAGAGCCGATGGAACTCTGTTATGTAGAGAGCGAGAAGGCTCGCTCTACAGGCTACAAGAAGTTGCAGAGATGCAACAGATGTCAAAAGACAGGACACTACGCTTACGAGTGTAGTGCCCCTCGTCCAGTGTCTCGCGACACTGGGCGTAATGACCGTCCACCCATGAGAAAGGGGCAGGGACGAGGGTCCGCAGTTGGTGCAAAGACGCAACAACGGGATGGACCGTCAAAAAACGGACAGGATCAGTAGGTGCGGAGCACCCTACTGATCCAGCAACGTCAAGAGAATTTGTAGGCCTCTTGATGAAGGTTGCTCCCAACACACAAACGTTGTGCGTTGCTGCTCTAGGTAATGAGATCTCACTCATTACCTTGAAACTCGAAGTGACGAATAAGTTGTCCCTTCGAGCTCTAGTCGATTGTGGGGCGTCCAACAATTTTGTGCGACGCCAATCGCTAGAAGATGGTCACTTTAAATTCAGTGAATGTGACACACCTCCTACGAGGATGACGGTACGTCTTGCGACAGGCGCATCCGTAACCGTCATGAAGCGTATAGTGAAGATTCACTATACGCTAGAAGATACCCAATACGACGATGACTTTATCGTATTGGATTTGGATGACAAATTTGATGTCATCCTTGGAATACCGTGGCTCAGAAGGTACGAACCACGGGTAAACTGGCAACATCGGACAGTAACGATGCCTGCCGCTTGTTCATCAGATGGCCATCTGATGAACGTTTTGGAGAGTCCACAAGCGTGTGGATATACTACGAGTGAGTGCGATGGCCTCACTTGTGGTACGGTCGTTAGTACGACTGCACAAAACCTTAGTGTACCAAACGGTTACACTTCGGAGCAAAGTTCCGGCGGCTGTGAGGAAACACAGGCTGCGCCGAAGGTCCACCACTCGAATAAGTCGGGTGGACTGGGACAAAGATGTATCCCTAGAGGGGAACATCTAGAAGAGAAACAATCGATCGCTCAGGTTAAGCGAAACGATAATCCTAGATCGACTGGAGAGTCTTTCGTAGAGGATCTCGCTGTGGTTGCGCAACCCCAGCTAGAGGAAGTAAAGGGAATAAGTCCCAAGATTACAAATACGGCGGAAATAAGTTCCCGAAACCCGCGGGAATAAGTCCCCGGGAAGACGAAGGAATAAGTCCTTCGAAGCCTGAGGGAATAAGTCCCCAGGAAATGACAGAGACATTGAATGTCATAGTCAATAACGGATCATGTGTAGGCGCTTATACACTTGATCTGATTGCGCCTCCGAAGTTAACTTCGGAGATCACTCAGTTGCCAACGCTCGAACATAAAAGATTCTTGCGTGATCTGCGTAGTGGCAAAGTCAAGCAGATCTGCATACTCGTCGCTGAAGACGAGTATGTAACCGACATAAGGTCAGCAACAGTGTTTACTGAGAACGAGAGAGTTCTCAGTAGTTCATCTATGGACGAGAGTGTCCTAGATGAAAAGACACGAATTGAGCGATATGAGTCCCAATCATGGGAATCGCTCAAGGAAAATCCTCTCTATGAAGATTTGGTTGAATTCAAGGATGTATTCCCTGAAACTGTTCCGTGCGAATTACCGAAGGATAAAGGTATTCGACACGAAGTCGAGCTTAAACCAGGCTCGAAGTACTGTGTCATGAAGCAGTGGCCACTGCCTCGTGAACAAGTACTTGCGATCGACAAGTTCTTTGCCGATCGTTTAGCAGCGGGCCATGTGAGGGAATCAACTTCCCCACATAGCTCTCCGACCTTCTGTGTGCGAAAAGCAACAGGAGGGTGGCGGATAGTGCACGCGTTTAACAAATTGAACGCTGCAACGGTACCGGCTCAGACGCCGATACCGAGGAAGGACGTAATCATTGATGGTATGTCAAAGAGTACCATCTTTTCGTCCATGGATTTGATGGATGGCTTCTATCAAATCCTAATGCGGGAACGGGATATACCCTATACCGCAGTTAGCACGCCTAGCGGCATGCTCTGGGAATGGCTAGTAATGCCACAAGGGCTCAGTAATGCCCCTGCCACGTTCAACAGGTGTGTATCACATCTGTTGAGGCCAGTACGAGAATTCGCGCCGAGTTATTTCGATGACGTATTCATCCATAGTCGAGCTATGGATGGAAAGTCGGACGTTGAGGTTCACAAGTACCACGTCCGACAAGTTCTTACAATCATGCGAAAGCATCAATTGTATGCAAACCTCAAGAAGTGTATATTTGCAGCAAGCGAAATACCACTTCTTGGGTGCATCGTTGGTAAGAACGGTGTACGTCCTGATCCCGAAAAGATCAAGGCGATCACCGACTGGCCCGTGCCGGTCGATGTCAAAGGTCTTCGAAAATTCATTGGGCTAGCGGCGTATTTGCATAAGTATTCACGCAATTACGCCGAGATGACTGTACACCTCTCTCGTTTGTTGAAAAAGAACGAGAGGTGGTTATGGAACGCTGAATGTCAACGCTCCTTTGAGGGTATCAAGCAGAGCTTGATACAATCCCCAGTCCTAGCAATAGCCGATCAGGACAGGCCATTTCATGTGGTCTGTGATGCCAGCGATTTCGCAATCGGCTGTGCATTAATGCAGTACGACCTTGAAGGCGTTGAACGCGTCGTCTGCTATCAGTCGCGTCAGCTGCAACCAGCTGAGCGGAACTATCCAGTGCATGACAAGGAACTCCTTGCCATGAAGTATGCACTCGCGAAGTTCAGAGTCTATCTATTAGGAGATAGACCCTTCGTTGTTTACACTGACCATGCGTCCTTACGCACGGCAGTGAACAGCCCGCACCTTTCACAACGAATGGCGCGGTGGTTGTCATTCTTTGCAGAATACAACTTTACGGTCGAGTACAAACCAGGACGACTTAATGTCGTCGCTGATGCACTCTCACGTCGTCCCGACTTTGAAACAGTCGCGAAACCCAACAGTGAGACAGTCACTGTTGCGGTTATGACGTCCTCAGTTCCATCTACAACGTTGTATGATGATGTGAGGCGGGCATACGCCCAAGATGGTGAGATAGTGAAGTTGTTGTCACATCTCTCCCAACCATCTCGAGAATCGTTGAAACGATTGTCGTCTGCGTATCGATCTGCATCAGATCGATACACTACTCGTAACGGTTTACTGTACTATACAGCCGTTTCTGGTGACACACCACGTGTTGTCATTCCAGATGATACTGATCTGCGTTTGCGGATCATGTTCGAGTATCACGATGCTCCTATAGGAGGACATCGTGGCCGAGAGAAAACATATCTCACGGTAAGTCGAGACTTTTACTGGCCCCGCCAGTATCAGTTTGTGCGAAAGTATGTTCGCGCATGCGAAGTCTGCCAACGAGTGAAGTCAAGTCCTTCACTGCGTGCACCTTTACAGCCTCTACCGGTTCCGGCTGAGTGCTGGGAATCCATCTCAATGGATTTCGTCTTCGGGTTACCCAAAGACGCACGCGGGAATACGGGTATTGTTTGTACTTGTTGACAGATTCAGCAAAATGGTACACCTTGTGGCTGTACCAGAGACAATCACGGCAAGTGGCTGTGCTTGTGTCTTTATTGACACCATCTTCCGACTTCATGGGTTGCCCCGTGAACTCGTATCAGACAGAGATCCACGATTCACTGCTGATTTCTGGCGTTCCGTGTTCAAATCACTCGGAACGCGCTTGAAGATGTCAACATCTGATCATCCAGAGTCAGATGGTCAGACGGAACGTGCCAATCGTGTCCTTGAAGAGATACTTCGAGGATACGTACACTCCTTTAAGAGTTGGAGTGAGTTTTTGCCGATGGTAGAGTTTGCCATCAACAACTCGGTGCATGCGTCCACGACACATACACCGTTTTACGTGAATGGCTTGCGCCATCCGCGTGTACCCACCTTACTAGAGTGTAACTCTGGTTTAAGGGGGGAGGGACTCGCGCGAGCAAAAACCGATTTGGTTCACGCTCATCACGCTCTGACGAAGAAGTCATTGCGTTTGATGCCGATATCGATAACATCAATATCGAAGAAGATGATGCCAGTGAGAGTGCGGAAGCCCTCACTGAAGACAATGATCCCAGTGAGAGTGCGGAAGCCCTCACTGAAGAAAAGGTTGTTGTCGCTGCAGTGCGCTCACAGCACACTGAAGCTAACGAGTCATCAGATGAGTTCATACTGGCTCGTGAAACGGTAGTCCGTTTTGTGCAAGACTCCATCGCCGAAGCGGTGGATAAGCAAAAGCAAAACGCTGACAAGAATGGAAGGGCAAACACTCTTTTATTTAATAAAGGTGACTTAGTCCTACTGTCTACGGTTTATATACCAAAACATGTAGTGACTAACTTGGGTAGCAGTAAACTACTACCCAAGTACATTGGCCCATTTCGTGTATTGCACCGCCTAGGCAATGCATACACGATCGAGTTACCACGTAAGATGCGAACGCATCCCACGTTTTACGTTGGTCGGCTTAAGCCGTACCACCAGTACGCTGCTTCTTCCGATGAAGAACGCCCTTGCGCTCAAGCATCTCGCAGAGAGCCTTGTGCTCCCGATGGTGGGCATCAACAAGGGTCTGAAGAGCAGTTATCTCAGCCCGAGACCGATCAACAATCCCACGAGCTACCCTTAGCTCGTCACGAAGAGATGTCAGAGATCTCTCGTTCTCAAGCTGAGCAAAGGCAAACTCAGCTCGATGCTTCGAGGCAGTGTCCACCATCTGGAGACGCCTATTCCGCTCATGCTCGAGATCGTCGCGTAACCCTTGCGTTACGCGATCAAAGAAGCTCTCGGGAACACACCGATCCACATGATCGTGTGGAGAGCGTCTTTCCTCCTCCTCCACCTCCATTAGAGGACTCTCGCGGTGGCCAGCGCTATCTAGTAGAGCAGCTGTTGAACCACCGCGACGTGAACGGACGTCGGACGAGTTACCTCGTCCGGTGGCGCGGCTATCCCCCGTCCTGGGATTCTTGGGAGCCCCGCTCCCAATTGATGGTTGACGTACTGGGTCTGGTCGAGCAGTACGACGCGACACATCCTGTGCCGCAGAAGGACCGCCGGAGAAAGTCTTCCCGGCACGGTCGTAAAGGGATTTCAGGTTGTCAATCCCTTCGTACATCTCAGTAGAGACACGTACGCGCCACCACGGGCTGGTAAGGAGGTAAGCCTCCTTAGGTGCTCGTGCAGAGTTGTTCACACAACATGGGCACGAGTCTCCCCAAGAGAGGCAGGGTAA